AATACGCCTATCGGACCCGCACGCGGGCCGACATCTTGGGGGGCTGAAGTCCCAAGCGTGGCTCGACGCCGGTCGACTAGGACGCATCCCACACACCACGCGCACACCACTCTACGGACACAAAAACAAAACACGCGCGCACGCACACATTGCACAAACAACACAACACAAACAACGCGACAACGCTTCTAGTCCCTCAGTAGCCAACCCATAACTTTCCAATGCAAAAATCGGATAGGCGTCGCGCGCGAGACTTAGTATAAAACCGCGCGGACGCAGGGCTAACTCATATCGACTCGCAATGCAAACGTACGCAAGCAGTCGCGATGATGACGTACTATGTCGTGCCCATAATCGTGCGGCCCTCGTTAATTTCGAGGGTCGCATTCGACACTCAAGTGTCGGTTGACACACGCCTTGAGGGTTAATCTCTCGACGTTGGACAACCGCCGTGCGCGGTTGGCGACCACACCCTCTTCTGCACCTTATGCAGAAGAGTTGAGTAGACAGCTTTAAGCTGTCGTGGCGGTCGAACATCAAGGGGTTTGACTTTGACGGCCGCCACGGACTATAACGTCCAACCATGAAAACGCAAAAAGGAGACTCACTGCAACCCCCATTAGCTGATGGCTCTCTAAAATGGAAAAGTGGTGGATAAGCCTAAAGGACGCGAGCGCGGAGGAGGTCCGGTATCCTATCCATAGGCTACCTGGTGTCCGGGATAATGAGGCCCGTACACGGACCCCCATAGGCTGACCGGAGCTAGTCCTCCGTCCACGTGCCACTTCACGTTACCAAGACCCCAAGTTTGTTGGCCGTGTCGCGCTCGTGATCTCGCCGCCTGACCCATAACTGTTTTAGTGCGGGATGCGACGAGTGTCGCGCGCGAACTTAGTATAAGATCGCGAGGGCGCTGGACTTACACATACTATGTCGCTATGCAGTTCTATGTGAGTAACCGCAATGACGGCGCGTTGTGTAGTGTCCACACCCAAATAGCCTACTCTGAGCCAAGGGGTCCCCTTTCGACGCCCAGGCGTTGGCTGAAGCGCGAGCCAATGGGGGTAACCCTTTAGCGCGTGCAAAACCGGCCTGAGGGCCTTTTCGTCTTTTGCACCCTGAGGTGTCCCAACGGGTGCGGGGCAAGAGGGCCCCTAGGGCAGGAGGGAGTTTGGAGCGGTGGTGAGTTGTCTGGCGCATCACCAGCAACACGCTCACTCTTCCACCCGGAACTTTATCGTTCCACCAAGATGAATCGCAACAAGGAAAAGAAACAAGAATTGGCGAGGGATATCCCCCCCCCTTCTATTCACCCCAAGCTTCGACTGACCCTTAGTACGTGGGCACTTCAGGCCACGCTGGCTCCACACGTAGGTACACATGCACTGGCACGTATATATATATGCACAAGGGGAATAATTATGTGACGATCACTTCTCACAGTCATAGTGGGTCTCCTCCTAGCCATACATATATATGCGACCGCATGGCAGCCCAACCAAAGCCCCAAATCTTTGAACATACATGCAATCACATCAAAAGTCAGACAAGAGTCCACCCACTACGCGGAGTCAACTCCAACCAGTTCCCATACTCATACCCCTCGCTTTAGCCATGCAAACCCCAACCTCCAGCCAACCAACCTCAATTAAATACTCAGTACCTTTGTTAAATGGTCATTCAATAAAAGTCTGGGTGAAACCCTTAACAAACAAAAAGATCACCAGGGCTAAAGCCTTTTAGGTTGAGTATGGGGAGCGAGTAGGAATTGAGTCGTGAGTCGACGAATCGGCAACCGACCTGTTATCAGTGATAACAGATGATGATCCTTGCAGGATCAACTGAACTAGCTCAAGTCCTGAATCGAATGTCCAAGAAATAAGACATGTCAATGTCCAAGTTAAATCATCATCATACGAGGGATGACCCTCCATAGCACATTCTCACCCAAGTTACCTACCAACTAAACCAAAATCTACCCCTAAGTCAGTGCCCAAGCAAAGGTAGACTAACGGCAGGATCTCCCCTACTCAGGGTGGATCGTCAGAATCGTCATCTGTCAGAATATAATCTAACTCCTCTAAATCAAAAAAATTTCGGCAGCGGTTCCCGTAGGAAAAGTGTCTTTTCAAAATTTATATCAGCCCGAATATGAGAGCAGAGATAGTCTTTGACTTTTCAAAGTCCAATTTTGTCTAACTCCCTGAATTAGCAAAAATTTGGGCAGCACTCCCTTTAGAAAAGGAGATTTTCCAGATTTTTACTAAGCCATACATGAACTTTAGATAGGTTAAACTTTGAAAAGTCAAGAATTGACTAACTCCCCAGATTTGTAGAAATTTCGGCAGCGCTTCTCGTAGAGAAAGTGGCTTACCAAAATTTATACAAAGCGAAGTATAACAAAAAATCCTAGAAAATGAGAGAATTGGTCTAAGTGAAAAAAACTTAGCTTAGAAAATGGAGGAATTGACCTAACTCCTATCGCTCTAGCACAAGGCGAGCCTCTAAAGCAACTACCTGTCAATCTGACACTCAAACCAAGTAGTAGCCTCACTCAGCCTCATGCAGGCCAAACCACAAAGGTAAGTACTCTCGCCACCCCAAATCAATCTTTGCAAATAATAGTTCGTAACTTCTCAATGCTTTATCCCCTTATACCCAGCTTACATAGGGCATAAAATCAAGCCGTCCAATCTTACGGAACTTGCCTGACTCAGCCATTGAGTATACACGAACAGGTTGCACAACTACTTTTCTCTTCTTTTGAGGCATACGATCAGGCCGTTCATCTTAGAACAGGGCTTAGTCGCCCAGAACTGTTTAATATCCAACTTATATATATATCTATGAGCTTAGTGTTCAGAAGTTGGGCATAGGACCGAGCCGTTCATCTTAGAACAAGGCCCGGCCTGCCTTGGGTTACCTTCAATTATACTCTTAATTATACTCTCTTCATTTTATGATAAGCTATAGCCAGGCCGTCCAATTTTATGGAACCCATGTCTGGCTAGCCTGTTCATACGTAGGATGGTATAAAATATAATCAAAATTTAGCCTTTTGGGTTCCAGCATGTGCAAGGCTTTGGGCCAGACCGTCCAATCTTATGGAACACATCTGGTCCTTTGCCAAGTTCGTTTCTCTCTGATCCACTGTGCGCGGCATGGGTCCAAGGTCGTCCAATCTTATGGACATGCTTTGGCCTCTGCGAGAATTACCCCCTCAGAATAAAACAAGACGGGGGGTTGAGCCGTCCAATCTTATGGACTTGCTCAGACCTCCTCGATCAGAAACAAAAGAAACAGAACAAACCCCAATCAAACACGGCAACCAAACCCTTCAATCTTATTGTACAGGTTCGGCCCCTGAAAAGTCAGCCACAATCAAACCCTCACAATTCAGAGCAATCAGACCATCCAATCTTATGGAACTGGTCTGACTCTCCATGCAAAATCAGAAATAAACACAGCGGTCAGGCCATCCAATCTTATGAAACTTGTCTGACTCTCCATGCAAACTCAGAAATAAACACAGCGGTCAGGCCGTCCAATCTTATGGAACTGGTCCCTGTCAGCGTCAAGCAAAACCACCTTTTACCCACCCTTCCCCCAGATGCCCCCCCTTGTGTTCACAATCTGCCCCCAAGCAATCAACAAACTGAGACTGCGATTGCACACACATTTCTTTATTTAGTCTGTCTTGTGTCCTGCCAGTCAATCCAAAGTCAAGGTAGGGGTGCATACAGTATACTCAGTCAAACATATGGGGATGTACAAATAAGGGCTATATCAGGGTGTATAGAGGGAAGGGAGTGGTTACCTCTCAATTCCTTGCCTCCAGAGCCTCGCCTAGGCTCCGGCAGAGCTCCCGCAATCGGTGGGGCAACCTCCCACAAAGGCCTTCGCGAGGATTACGGGTTGCAATCCCGCCTGCCGCCTTCCTCTCAGAACCAATGGACTAGACTTAGAATGAGGAAGGCAGAAATAGAGAGTTGAGTCTCTCAGATACAAGAAGATGCTCTCAGACTCGCAGGAGAGGGCCTTGGTACCTTCATACGCCTGAGGGCCCCACAATGGCAGCCAAGGTATATAGCAACTTGGTCAACAAAAGTCCAACCTCCTACTGTTGACCCTCCGGCGACCTTCCAATCAAGAATAATATCCTCTCTTCCGAACGAAACCGGACTCGCCGTAGAGCCCGCGACTCGAAATATGAGGACTATGGGTGAGCCCTCTGGCTTGAGGCTCCTCATCAGCCACTTCACTTAATAGGAAGGATTGTGCGGCGGCCAACCGCCTAGTACCGCCTCTCGGCTGACCTGCCGTGGCTTCGTTTAACAATAGCCGCCTTGCCGGCAAAAAATGAGAGTCTGCAGTTCTCACAGTCTGCCTCTTATCGCTCCGTTCTGCAGTCAATCAGCATACCAGCCAGCAGGCAAGGCTGC